CATGGGTTGTAATGGGGCTAAGGGTGTAAGGTGAGTGAGAAATGAAGGATATGGATACAACAAAGTTCAAGGAACTCACAATGTAAGAGCATATAACAGTTGATTACAAGACTTTGAATCCTCACGCTTAAGATTTTTTTTTATTTTACGTGATCAACTAGACCACAAAGCTTTATACCTCCATTTATTTTGATTCACACTCCTTTCTTCTATTTGAACAACCATCAATTTATTTTTTGAAGCCAATAAAGAAACTTGGACTCGAAATCTGAATCCAATGTCACCTAACCACAACTTTTCTCTTTTCTTTCAATCTTTGAGTGAAGTTCTTCTTCTTCTTTTTTTTATTTTTATTTTTTTTTTAATTTTTATAAATGTAATATCTCTTCCCAAACTTAGCATAAAAAACACATCCAAACTAAAGCTCATGAGTTCCTTAGAATCTTTCCCAAATGACTCCTCCCACCATATTATGACGTTGCCCCAGTTTTGGGCTCGATCCGAAATCAATAGGTGTAAGAAATTAGACAATTCAAGTTCACAGGCCATTCGGCTAATAATTGGTTAAATGAAAGAAAAGGCTTACATGTAGGCTCAAAGTGGTTACAATGGAAAATCATGCTTAAGCATGCATACTATGACGTTGCCCAAGTTTTGGGATCGATCCGAAATCAATAGGTGTAAGAAATTGGTCAATTCAAGTTCAAAGCCAGTTCGTTCCTAATTGGAGTGGTTTTGTGTTTTGGGTAGTTCTAGAGATCGGATTTCAATCAAACTTAACCAAATGACTCCTCCCACCATATTATGGTGTTGCCCAAGTTTTGGGCTCGATCCGAAATCAATAGGTGTAAGAAATTGGACAATTCAAGTTCAAAGACAATTCGTTCCTAATTGGAGTGGTTGGTGTTTTGGGTAGTTCTAGAGATCGGATTTCACTCAAACTTAACCAAATGACTCCTCCCACCATATTATGATGTTGCTCAAGTTTTGGGCTCGATCCAAAACCAATAGGTGTAAGACATTGGACAATTCAGGTTCAAAGGCAGTTCATTCCTAATTGGAGTGGTTGGTGTTTTGGATAGTTCTAGAGATTGGATTTCACTCAAACTTTCCCAAATGACTCCTCCCACCATATTATGACGTTGGCCCAGTTTTGGGCTCGGTCCGAAATCAATAGGTGTAAGAAATTGGACAATTCATGTTCGAAGGCAGTTCGTTCCTAATTGGAGTGGTTGGTGTTTTGGGTAGTTCTAGAGATCGGATTTCACTCAAACTTTCCCAAACGACTCCTCCCACCATATTATGACGTTGCCCCAGTTTTGGGCTCGATCCGAAATCAATAGGTGTAAGAAATTGGACAATTCAAGTTCGAAGGCAGTTCGTTCCTAATTGGAGTGGGGGGTGTTTTGGGCAGTTCTAGAGATCGGGTTTCACTCAAACTTAACCACATGACTCCTCCCAGCATATTATAATCTTGCCCAAGTTTGGGGCTCGATCCGAAATCAATAGGTGTAAGAAATTGGACAATTCAAGTTCGAAGGCAGTTCGTTCCTAATTGGAGTGGGGGGTGTTTTGGGCAGTTCTAGAGATCGGGTTTCACTCAAACTTAACCACATGACTCCTCCCAGCATATTATAATCTTGCCCAAGTTTGGGGCTCGATCCGAAATCAATAGGTGTAAGAAATTGGACAATTCAAGTTCGAAGGCAGTTCGTTCCTAATTGGAGTGGGGGGTGTTTTGGGCAGTTCTAGAGATCGGGTTTCACTCAAACTTAACCACATGACTCCTCCCAGCATATTATAATCTTGCCCAAGTTTGGGGCTCGATCCGAAATCAATAGGTGTAAGAAATTGGACAATTCAAGTTCGAAGGCAGTTCGTTCCTAATTGGAGTGGGGGGTGTTTTGGGCAGTTCTAGAGATCGGGTTTCACTCAAACTTAACCACATGACTCCTCCCAGCATATTATAATCTTGCCCAAGTTTGGGGCTCGATCCGAAATCAATAGGTGTAAGAAATTGGACAATTCAAGTTCGAAGGCAGTTCGTTCCTAATTGGAGTGGGGGGTGTTTTGGGCAGTTCTAGAGATCGGGTTTCACTCAAACTTAACCACATGACTCCTCCCAGCATATTATAATCTTGCCCAAGTTTGGGGCTCGATCCGAAATCAATAGGTGTAAGAAATTGGACAATTCAGGTTCAAAGGCAGTTCATTCCTAATTGGAGTGGGTGGTGTTTTGGATAGTTCTAGAGATTGGATTTCACTCAAACTTTCCCAAATGACTCCTCCCACCATATTATGACGTTGCCCCAGTTTTGGGCTCGGTCCGAAATCCATAGCCGTAAGAAATTGGACAATTCCAGTTCAAAGGCAGTTCGTTCCTAATTGGA